GGAATTTATTGAGAGGAAAGAAAAAAAAATATTGCAAATGAAGTGACAGTGGAAGTAAAGAGACGGTGTGATTGAAGATAAAGCGGTGATGGGAGGTAAAGCGGTGCTGAGTAAATCCTTCGCTCTTTTTTTAATTCTGCTTTTGTTTTTAATATCTCTCCATCTCTCCACATATATTAATTCAAAACGTGTTGAGCCTAGGTGGTAGATTCTCACGTTCGGATACTGACATGACAAAAATCTATGCTTCGTGATGTTGTTTTTATATTATTTTTGTTTTGGAGTTAAGTTTAGTATTAGGCATAAATAACTTTACACATATATTTATTAACTCAACACTCACCCCGACGGTTACATGATGATCTAACGGTTACAAATCCCGACGGAATAGTTCCGTAACAGGACCGTAGCATTTTCCCATATTTTATAGTTTATATACACAAAATTGATAATTTTTCAGTAAATGTCATATTTCCTTTTATAATGTTATTAATATAAAATATCCACCCTATATATAATCCACCTCCACCTTATATATAATTTCCAAATGCGCTGAGCCTACGTGACTATTTTTGGTGTTTCGTAATCTTACTTGGCCAAAAATCATGCTTCGTAATTATATTTGGACAAATAATATTGATATATTAATAACTAGTACAACGCCCGTGTATTACACGGGTGTTTATTAAAAAAAATTCTTAAAATTAATTTAAAAGTAATAAGAAAAAATAGTTGAAAATTTAAATACTTTATATGTTCAGAAGTTCTTCATATTCTTCTTCTTCATCCCATGAACATTCATTCCGTTCTTCTACAAGAGAGTGTATGATTGGTCATAAAAAGATGAAACTCTAGTTTCTCATATATGCGATCTTGCTCTCCCGCAGCAGTTAGCTCTTTTCCCTGAGCTAAGGGTATGAAATAACTTGGAGTTGACGTTGGGATTGCCTTTCTGTCCGACCTTGGTCTTACTCCATCCTTAACTATTTGAAAGCTGAATCCGTTGACCAGGGCGCTACCAGATGATTATCCTGGAGAAGTGGCCAAAATGCACTTCCCCTACGCTTCCCTCTCCTCGAAGATAGGCTCTTTCTTATCTATTTTCTTTCACGCCCTGAGCCTGAGCTAACTCATTTATCTTTCGGTCTAGTCCAGTTCGGCGTATCTCCAAGCGAAAACATCAAAGAATTATCTGAGTAGATCCATGTACTGTCAAATCTCTTTCATTTGAGAAGCTTGCACTTAGGAATACAGGGCGAGGATTGTCAACAGGCCCGAGATCCATTTACTTGACCTCGTCCTATGTAGGGGGCACATGCTCTACATCCTATTCTTGAACTGACTCTCGTCTCTTTGCTCTTTGTTTGACGGAGACAGAGTTTCTAGACAATTGGAAGAAATATATATTTTAATATGACATTTGTTACTTGTGCGACTTACATGTGTTATATTATAATAATTTTTTCAACTTATAACATATAACTACATTAAACATGAATATATTAATTGAGAAATAATTTTATTTTTAATTAATTTTAATAAATATTTTTTTATTATTGCAAAGATAAATATAATTTATTTATTTAATATATACAATATGGATGTCAAATCGAAATTCATCAAAATATGATTAATTTGATACATTATATATGTAAAACCGATAAGAAATATAAAAGTTATCAACGTTTAAAATGCATTTACAATTCAATAGTTATAATAAGAAATAATATTAAAATACAATTAATACATTCAAAATGATTATAAATAAATCAACATATTTATGGTAATCCAAACTTAATTAGTTTTGGATTTGAATTAAATTAAAATCGATCCAGATCAAATAACAAATCATGAAACTTTGACACCTAGAATTCCGACGCATGCGAGCATGCCAATTAGGCTCAGCACATTCGAGAATTAGATATAGTGAGGATTAATAATATAGGTTTGGACATTCCATAAATATTATTTATCTAACTTAGGCTATGTTTGGTAAAATTAGCTGATAAGCTAGCTGATAGCTGATAAGCTAGCTTATAGCTTATATGTAATTTTTGAGCTTATAGCTTATAGCTTATGACTTATAGCTGAAAAGCTAGTTTATATGATAAAAGGTGTTTGGTAAATTAGCTGATAAGCTAGCTGAAATAAAAAAAATTCAACTAGCTTATTTGAAAAGCTACCTAAAGTAGTTTCATAAGGTAGCTTATGAAATAAGCTCGAGTTTTTTAAAAAAGCTCGTCCTACCAAACGAGGCTTATTTTAAACAAGGAGCTTATAAGCTAACCAAATAAGCTAAAAACTAGCTTATTTGGCTTACCAAACATACCCTTAGTATTTTAATATCACTTGTACTAATATAACCCTTTAATTCTTTGTAATTTTATATAGTAAGGCACTAAGTGACTAATATATCCCTGACTTTTGATTTGCTTCTTACAATTAGCTATTGAATTGTAAATGTATTTTAAAAGTTGATAGGTTTTGTATTTCTTATTGATTTTACATATATAATATATCAAATTAATCATTTTTTGATTATCTTCGATCTAACATTGATATTGTATGTATGAAATAAATAAATTATATTTATCCTTATATTATTAAAAAATAAAAATATTTACTAAAATTCATTAGAAAAATAAAATTATTTCTCAATTGATATATTTATGTTTAATGTAGTTATATGTTGTAAGTTAAAAAA